ACTCTTATTAAGTAAACCATAAATACCCCACCAAGTTGTCTAAAAATAACTTTGTAACTCAAAATTATAATCTAAAGTTATATTCTTATTCTATTCAGTACCGGGGACCAATTTTGTGAAAAAACTTTCAGCATATGGTTAATATTAAAGAAAAAACATTTTCGCAATTCAAATCTAAATTAAGTACCTACGGATTTTAATATAGCAGATTTTCTCTGTCAATTTTAAAATTTATTAAACTAAATTATTTTTTTTAATTTTATTTTTTAACATCTTAAAATTTTCTTTTTTTAAATGCTGTTGCTTATATATTACGGATTATTATATATTACGGATATTTATTTGCGTTACTATTGGGGCTCGGTGATAAGGCTAATTTATGCCTTCTTCTTGCTCCAGCCAATTGTAATTTTTATATTGTTGTACTTTGTGAATATTTTTAACGGCGAAATAAACTAATAAACTAAACTAAACTAAAGAGATATCGGGGGGAATATTTAGAAACCCTATACAGACTCAGAATAGGCAGAGATATGCGCAATCTGATCTGAATGTCAAAAAATGTATTGAATAATAAAAGTGAAATAGAATAATTGCCAAATGATAATATGTTTTTTCAAATTAAGTTCCCATTAATCCTATGATTTACCAAGAAAAATATTTTTAAAAAATACCTGATTTTTTTTTCAGAGTTTTACACTTATTACTCCCATTTATAAATTGTATACATCTCTAAAACATTTTAAGTTTGAGAATATTGCTTATTGGTTGTTGTAACTAGCCCAGATAATTGCAACACTCTCAAATTAAAAGTAATTGTAAGCAAGAGCTGATTTAGATTGGCTTTGGTAATGTATAGTAATAAAAGATTACAAAGCATTGTAGCATAATAAGCAATAAGAAAAAATTTATAACCTGATGTTCACAAGTGTGTTTTGATATAGTAAACTGATTACAAAAAGGAACAACTCTTAACTTACCACACCTTTATGCAGAGTTAAGTGTAAAAAGGTAGAAACAAGAAAAATTACAAAATACAAATTCATGTTGTTGTTTATTTCAATTTCAAAAGACATATAAAGCACATGTTTGTTGATATATAGCTTTTAACCTGAACAAAATACTGGTTATTATATTCTACAATTGGTAAAAAACGTTCACCCTTTAATAGCAACTGATGGTAAATAATATCAAATAAAGCAACAAAGTTTGATGCAGTTTTTATTTATTATACTATTAATTTATTTTACATTACATACTCCTGAAGAAAAAAAATATCTTCTCTAAAAAAATGAAAAAAAAATTTTTTTTTTCATTTTTCTAGGCAGAAGTATTTATCTTTCATATTTCCAAATTTTATTAATAGTTTTATTATGTAACCTTTGGAATAACCAATAAAATCAAGTGCGCTTTTTTTGAATTTCTGTGAATACCTCTTGTATAATAATTTAAAAAATAGAGATGTGTTATGTTTTATCATTCAAAATTAATATTATTAATTTTTTTCTGAAAACCTGCTTCTTCAAATGTGAAAGCTTGTTTTGATGAAGTTCTTTTTATTACAATAATTGCCATAATTCACCTTATTTTGGTTAAATTGTTTAACTTAAATTCTCTTTGATAGCTTGTAATATCAACGCTTATATGTAACTGAACGAAACTTTTGTTTATTTAGAGAAAGAGTGTTCAAGTGTAAAAGATAAATTAACTTGAGTAATATTCAGAGATTTTTATCCGCTCTTAACAAAAGGTGCATTAAAAATAAAAATAAAATATACAGCACATGAAAAGATGCGTAACAGTAATTTATGGGGAATAAAATTTGAGGATGTTCAGCTAGCACACGATAATTAGATAGAGCAAACAAGATGATTAAATAGAGGATTAAAAATTAGATGATTAGATAGAGGATTAAAGAGAAACGATGTTTACATAGAAGAACAGAATGGCTATAAAAGATCAAAAAAATAGTAATAATCTTGGGAATATTGGGAATAGTTGGAAATATATGCGAGTTACTGATATTGTGCACTATATAACATTAATATGATTTGCACTCAGAAAAAGTAGAACTAGAAGTAGGAAAGTTTGGAGTGAATGTTTATAAAAAGCATAAGTTTTAAAAAAAAAACACTTGGTGCGGTGAAGTATCAGGAACGACATAATGAGAAACTTTCAAACAGGGGCGCTGAGAGCTTTTACCCTGCCTGGGGCAGCAACCCTGACTTGTGTCCTCATTTTTTCTATATTATTAGTCAAAGATCTTAGTTTTGGAACCTTTTTTGTTTTACACCCCTCCTGATCTGAATGCTGATTAAATTTTAAGCATATATATGCCGAAGCTTCGGCTTTGGCAAAGTGGCTTCGGCCGAAGATTCGGCTTCGGCAAAATTTTAGCTTTGGTACATCCCTAAACAAAAGAACTGTTTAGTAGAAAAACAAATAAATATCACTTTTTTTGTTAAATTTTCCAATAGATTATTAATATACAATTTTCATCCAATTTAAATATACAAGTTAAAATACCCTGCCAAACTTTTTTTAATTTTTCACAAAGTGTTTGAAGGTTTAAGGATGATGTTTTATTAAAGTTAAGTAAAGAAAAGTATTGATGTATACCTTATCAGCATTCTCAATATTTAGGTTAAACAGTAACTTCTTCAGAGTTTGTAGGTTTACACGGAACATGTAAGCTAGTTTGGTAAAATATCTGTAAAAAAATTTTTTTTTTAATTTAAATGTTTAACTATTTATAATTAAGAAGACCTCTGCCTCAGCTGAAAATTTATACTTTGCATACTTTAAGTACGTTACCATTAGTCTGGTGCAACTGTATATAAATTTTGTATTGGCCATGCTTTATAGAACATAGACATTACATTTGACGAGAAACACACTTAGAAATCTTGTTTAGAAACACATTTTATTATAACAAAAATATTAATAGCATGACAACTGATTTTGTCATTTTTTTTTATTTGGTTAACATATTTGACTCCAATACTTTTTCTTGCTTTTAATTTCATTGTTTATATGTAACTGTACAAAAATTACTGTTCAGTAGACAAACATATAAATTTCACTTTTGTTGTTAAATTTTCAAATAATATTTTATATATACAGTTAATATAGCCTGCCAAAGTTTTTCTAAATTTTTAAAAAGTGTTTAATGATTTAAAATGATGCTTTATTAGAGTTATGTGGAGTCTCCTCCAAACAATAGTTAAAACAAAACATGAAAACAAAATCTTCTCAAAGCTCATATACATGGAACATGTAAGCTAGTTTTGCAATCAGTACAAATTTTCTTTAATTAAAAACTCTAATGTTCAACTCTTTATAATTAACATATAAACCAATTTATAAATAAAGTTCTTTACCAGTAGTCTGGTAAAACTGCATATAATCTTTATATGCAAAAGTACTTCACAATTAGTCTTGTACAACTGTATATAAACTTTTTATTTGAGTATGCTTTAAAGCCAAAAAAATATTTTGCGAGAAATAAATTTATAGATCTTTTCAAATTACACTTTTTTTCCATTTCATTAAATTAACAACAGATAAAACCTCCATCACCATGATAAACGTCATTGAAACTTTGAGATTTTTACGAGTGAAAATTCTCTGCAGAGAATTTTCACTCGTTTTTCAAAATCTATTTGTATCATGGTACAAATAGATTTTGATACCTTTTAAATATTCTAAAGAGTAATAAAATAAAATACATTTTCTATTTTGATAGTAACACAAGACTTGTATTGATAAACTTAGTTGATCAATACAAGTCTTGTGTTATCATTACTATGAAATTTATTTCATAGTAATGATAACAGAAGACTTGTATTGTGTTATCATTACTAATGATAAATCTGTTGTTTAGATTTTAAATATATTTTTAAATAAAGCGCACTTGGCTCTCTTTCAAAATCAGCGAATCAGATTGCTCATATATCTGCCTATTCTGAGTCTGTATAAGGTTTCAAAATATGCTATTGGGGGGATGCCCCCTCCACCTTTTTTACCAACTTTTTTTAGAAATATAGGATATTTTTATGTACCAGTCCCAGCTATTCTTTCTGGATATTGAATTCTTCCTCCTAGTGTCCTTTGAGGTATACAGTATAATTCTGCAGCTCTCTTGCAACTCAGTTTGCCAGCTTTAACTTTTGCAATGACTTTTCTATTTTAGTTTAGCGGCATTTTTATTGATAATTGATCGATTTAATTAATTTGAATAGATTATAAGAAGAACATGACCTGACCCAGTGGGCACAGACATTAAAAAGACGTCTTTTAAACGTCTTATACACGTTTTGGACGTCTTTTGAACGTTCAAAAGACGTCTTTTTCAGGTCCGGTGCCCACTGGGGAGAAGTATATTACCAAAACAAGAAAAAGGGTAATAATATTAATTATCCAATCAAAGCAAAATTTCTGTTTAATATAAATAGGTGGTGAAACTCCCCCATTTAGTATTTTCGTAATAACTTTGGAACCGATTAAAATTAGAAAGAAAAAAATAATACAAAAATTCTTTGAAAATTTTCCAATATTATATTAGTCTTTAAAAATTTTGAATGGAATAAATAATTTGATTTTTATAAGAATTTTAAAATTTCCTGGTTTTTTATAGATTATTTTTGTCAATTAATTTTCTTATCAAGTTTTCACAAAAAGATTTATTTTTACATAATTTGATAAGAAATTTGCTTTTCTACTAATAGAAATTTGAATTATAAAAAAAAAATCTTATTCCTGAGTAAAGTTATAGTTATAAAAGTATATATAGACTGATTGGTAGCAAAATTTCTAAAGTGGCAAAATTAACCAAATTTAACTCTATACAAAAATATCGCATAATTTTAATCGTAAACCTTAATTTAACCTAATCTTAAACCTTTATCTTAAACCTTTATCTTAAACCTTAGTTAAAAGCAATTGAGTTTTAGCTTAAATACCTATAAAAATTAATATTTTATTATTTAAAAAGCGTCGTGAACATAACAACTACTCTTTTTTATTATTCAGTGATTACAAAAGCACTCATAAACATAATAAGTTCTAATTATTTATATAAAACTTTTAAAAAGTTTTAAAATATAAGTTAAAGTTAAAAATGGCTTCCGTATACACTTTGTTCGGAGTTTATACTACTATCTGTGAATAAATGATCTTTTTGTAGATGCGTTGAAGCAGCATATTGGGTTTGATGGGATAGCTGCTGTTGGTATAATTCATTGGTTGGTATACCAATACCAAGGTACTCAATTGGTTGAAAGGGATTGTTGCGCAAATATTGTGTGAAAGGTGACATAGATTCCTCAGAACACCGTGGATAGTTATGATTAAGATAAACGAGATTTGCCATGCTAAGAAAAAAAAAGTTTTTTTTGAATGTGTTTAGTGGAGGTTGGAGCTGTAAAGTGCGTAGAGTAGATAAAGCTTTATACTCATTTTAAAACTTATTAAACTACTTTAAAAATTGAATTATACTGTATTATTAAACCGTACTCTTGTAACAAATACAAACAATGCCTATGTTACAGTTGAAACACTATAAATAACAAATGTTGCAATTGCCATATAATATATATTACCTTAGCAACGATGATTTCGTATCATTTGACTTTTTAGTTGACTTTGTATATTCCTTTACAAGTGAATCTTCACTCTCTTTCATTTTTTCTGTAACCTGACGGCAGAAGTTTTGAAAAATTTGTGAACACTAAACCAAAAATTAAATTGTTTGAAGATTCTTTTAAATTAAAGTTGACCTTACAACTTCTTCATTTAAGTTTAAAATATTAAAAATAAGTTACCAGATTCAACAACTTTTAATAATTATAAAATAAAATACAAATAAAATACAAATAATTCAAAAAAATAAACAAACAACGACAGAGAACGTTGTTAGTATTGAAAAAAAAAAAAAAAAAATCAGAAAACAACTCACTTGATCAAGGACAACTGCCGGCGAATGCATTTGAATAACGCGAATGTATAAGACAGTTAACTCTAAAACCTGAAAGTACGTAAAAAATAAAAGTTGAGCAATATTTATTTATTAGGATATTAATAACTTTTCGTGGCTTATTTACCACCCCGTTTAAAAAAATTTTTTTTATCTCCTTGCAATGATTTGCTTGTCAAGGTTTGTGTTTCCGAACTATAGATTGAGATATAACAACAATAAAAAAATAATAATGAAAATTAGTTGCGTTATCGACATTGATACAGTAAACAAAAAAACTCCCGTTTTTACAATACTTAATCTAACATTTAATACACAATAAAAAAGACATTTATATAATTATATTACAACGTTTTAGTTTATGCATTGAATTGTTTTCTTGACTTGTACATAAAATCAGTTTATAAAGTCAAATGAAAAAGTTCCATCAATCAAACATTTGTAAACGAGATTGAGGCATTCTAAGTGGCTAAAACTTAGGTTTACATTAACTTTTAGACGCCTAGCTAATTGTCTGTAAATAAACGTTTTCGCTGAGATCGCCACATTTTATAATATATATATATATATATATATATATATATATATATATATATATATATATATATATATATATATATATATATATATATATATATATATATATATATATATATATATATATATATATATATATCGGGTGGACACGGAGAAATCCGGCCAACTTTAAATTAAGATTTCTTTAAAACCATCAATGTTTTTTATTTCAATATTTTTTATTATTAATTGTGTTTATGTAAACTAGAGTTTCAACTTAATTTTAAGGGGCTTGATGGGCTGTTTAGCAAGAGATCAACTTTTATAGCGGGTTGATGCCATCATTTCGCAGATTTTTTCTTTTTTCACCTTACTGGTGGCATTAATCCGCTTTTTTTGGAAGTCCTTTTTATTATTTGTTACTCCACCTGTCTTACGAAGAACTCCTTTAACTATTGCTCAAAAATCTTCAATTTTGTGCTCTTTAGGACGATTTGTAGGATTCACATCTTTAGGAGCAATTTCCACATTATTATCTTTGCACTACTATAGAACTTTTTTAGAATAGTGAGAGGTAGCAAGATCTGGCCAAAAGAGACACCGGTATTAGTGTTTTTTTATAAATGACAAAAGCCTTTTTTGGAGGCATTCTTTGATGTAGAGATTGGCAGTCAAGGTCTTCTTAGTGACAAAACAAGAGGACTGCATACCACAGCTACAAATTACTTGCCACACAAGGAACTTGAATGCAATTTTCTCTCGTCGAATATATTTAAATTGTTCATCGACAGGTTTATATTTGTTCTCAAAATAAAGTTGTTGACCAGGAAGTTGGGAAAAAATCCGCCTTGCAATATCTTTCGTCATCTTCAATTATGCACATACTTTTATCCGCCATTATTTTAACCCACTTCTTTGCGCGTCAAATTCCTTTAATTTAACCATTTAAGCTTCTCTTAGGTGTATTTTTCTTATGAAATGCTTTAATTCCAACATTTTTCAGTACTTTTTGATATAAGAACGCAAAATCTTGATTTTTCTTGCTAGATTTTGCTGGTTTGGATTTCTTGCTATTAAACGTAAAATTGATTTTACCTTTTTGGATTTATGAAAGCTTTTTCTTTCTTCCACTTCCAGGTTTTTTTTCGAAGCTTTGAATAGTCTTGAACTTATTTATAATATCCATGACTGTAGATTTTGGGACATCTGTACGTTTAGCAATCAAGCGATATAAAGTCGATTGATTTTTTGCAAAAAAAATTCACAACTTTTTTACGCACCTCACTTTGTTTCCGAAACATTTTGAAATCATTAATTTGTAAACAAAAGTTTATCAACACAATTAAAGTTAAGGAAGTAACGTTTAATTAAAAAAAAAAAAAAGAAATAAAAAGCAATTATGGTTTTAGAGAAACCTCAATTTAAAGTTGACCGGATTTTTTCGTGTCCACCCGATATATATATATATATATATATATATATATATATATATATATATATATATATATATATATATATATATATATATATATATATATATATATATATATATATATATATATATATATATATATATATATATATATATAAATATATATATATTTGGTGTTGGAGTATATTTGTGACATAAGTTATGTCACAATTATACCCCAAAACTAAAAAAAACAACCAAGGCACCTTTAATAAAACAGGACCTTCTGATATTAAAAACTGAATTTTATATTATTTTTAGTTATTTAGCTTATTTTTAAGCATTTTAAATTTTATTTTAAAATTGAGGTTTAAAAAAGATTTTTTTTGTTTTATTAACTTCAAAGAGGTTTTATAAAAGTGTCAAAACTGAAAAGGTTCTTAGGAACTCAAAAGCCCTCAGCCTCTAAGTTACTTTATGTATGGAGAAACGGACCACCATATATGGTGGTTTTTATATTTTAAGGAGTCTTCCATAAAGTTCCTACACAAGTATGGGGAGAGGGGGTTTCCTAAAAAAAGTACGCATGCGCACAAGGGTGTGTGTGTGTGTGTGCGCGCTCGCGTTTAAGGCAGCGATTATGTACACAGTTTGTCTGATCTCTCGTACTCTATTTCTCCTAAAACTTTATTTTTTTTTTTTAAAAAAAAAAAAAAAAAAAAAGATTATAACAAGCTTAAAACATCAATATTGTTATGTAACAAATTAGTCGAATTGAAGTTTTTTTAGTTTTAATACGTGCGTTTTTTGTAATAAATAATACGTTCGTGCGAAGGTATGAGAGTCCTAAATAGATGGTTTTACTGCGTAGGTACTCTATGGATGCCATCTAAGAGTATTTAATATTTATTTTTTACATTTAATATTTTTAATACTGTAAATAGTATAAATATGCACAAATTTATTAATTGTATTTGTTTTGATGTTTATTAAATGATTGTTTTTTTTTTTTTTTTTGTCAAAATCAAAATTGTGTACTACTTATTTCTGAAAATGCCATTTTATACTCTTTCCAATGATATATTATTTGATAGTTCTGATAAAATATAGAGATGAGTAATTAGGGATTTAGAATTTAAAAATTGCATAATTATTTTTTCGTTTACATTTTAAATTGCATTTTTTACAAAATAAGATTTATTATTATTAAGTTATTGTGTCACAGGTTTCTTTTAGTTTTGCTTATAAGATAGAAAAGAAATCCTGACGTAGCTCTAAAAAATGCCCATTTTATTATAAAATTATATTTTTTAAATTCTTATTTATTTCTAGTTCTAAAAAAAATATATTAAAACCATTCTCTATTAGTGAAGTAGTTTTTTTTCTAAGAAAACCACCTTTACAAAAAAAAAGCATTAAAAATATTTCCAAGAAAATTATAGTATTATAAAAGCCAAGAAATTAAATTTATATATTGTTGGGGACAGACAAACGAAACGTCCATATCTATTTTATTTGATTTTTTGCACGCTTTTTCCCATTAATTGGTTTTGCAGACATTTTTTTCAAGTTTCTAAGTTTTTTTTTTAAAGTTTTTTAAAAAAATTTAAATTTTTTAGAAGTTGAGTAGGGTACCCTCAATTTTTATAAAGATTTAATTGCTCAACTAGCCCCGGTCTACGTAGAGCGGTGCTAGTTAAGCAATTTTTACTAAATCTAACAGATCTAACGGTGTAATCTAACAAATCTAATCTAACGGTGCGTCAGATTTACATAACTTTTTCAATATTTGAAAAACACATTAACCTGCTAAAAGTTAGTTAAGAAAAAAGTAGAGTTTCTTGAGAAGATATTGCCAAATGTTTTTGGAGCTGCTCAACCTTCCTAGAGTGGTAAGTTGAGCAGTAGTGCAGGGTAAGTTGAGTAATCAACAAATAAATGAATATGTATGGTACGAAACTTGGGTGAATCATCAATAAAACATTCACTAACAGTGAGCGTGTGTATAATTTATAAACATTTTATCTTATAAACTTTATTGACGTAAATAAGAGAAGAGAAAAAACTAAATATTAAGAAAGTGTCATAAAATATAAAAATTTTAATTTATACAACTATTTTGAATTTTAAACCCCGATTTAAAAGATATTTATTTCAAAAATATATTTAAATAATGTACCGCTAAATTATTTCTTATCAAAGTTGTTTCTTTGTGTTCAAAAGTTCAGTTTTATTTTTTTCATAGCTGCTCAACTTACCTCTACTAGGCAAGGTGACAAATTAGTTAGGTTTTAGAGAGAAAAACAAGTCTTAGAAAAAAAACGGCCAATTGTGATCGAAAGTCCGATAAATTGGTAAAATATCATTACTTAAGTGATGGCAAAAATTTATAAGCCTACAAAAAAAAAATAGCAAAAATTTTTTTTTTTACTTTTTCGGTACAAAATAAAAAAAGTGCCTGTATACCTTTACTCAACTGCTTTCCAAAAATCTTTTGTTGCGCATTGTGTTAACATTCAAATTCCCTAACTCTCTATCCATTGGATGTTTTGTCATGTGATGCGTAAGTTTTGAGGTATTTGAAATACCTAACTTGACTCTATACTCAACTAGCCCCGCTCTACCCTACTTCAAATAAACGATAAAATTTTGTTTGTCAAAAAATAGAAAATTTCAAGACTTCAAAATATTACAAAATTTTTTTAACAAGCGATAATATGACGCTAAAACTTTAAGGTTTTTTTTCAACTTGTTTCTCCGCGCAGGGGCCTTATTCATTAAGGTTCGTGTTTATAACTGCAATTAAGTAACCTCCTCGTCAGTAGTGGCCTTCTCAGCTTTGAGGAGGTGAGTTTACATTTAAAAAAAAAGTACTCAAAATGGCATAGGCTGTTCATTTATGTTTAATCTGTACATAGTTTTTGAACAAATTGTTTCAAAACATTTTTGTATAACAGATTTGATTTGATAGGGGTGGTCCATTTCTCTCCCCTAACATTTAATTGTCTCTTAATTTTTTTTCTCCAGTGAGACAAGTAAATTCAACAATAACAAAAATAATTTAAAAGTTTGCTTAATTGGCGCTACGCGTCAATTTAGTCGACAGCCAGTCGCCAATTAGCCACCGCCGACTATAAACTTATAAAATACAAAAACTTATAGGTTTACAAATTTACTTAATTCTTTTTAAATGATTATAAAAGGATAAAAAAAGATTGATTGAAACGCAATAAAATAATTAATGATTTCAGCACTAATATTTATTATATAAACAACGAGATTTAGCAACATTTAAATAAAAATTACACACACACACACACACACACATATATTTATACATCAATCCTTGGAATTAATAAAAATGAGGTCGGCAATAAATTGCCAACCTCAATCTTTTAGAGGTCGGCAACAACATAGAAACAAGTTCGGCAATTTTTAGCCGACCTCAAAGACCTTTAGGTCGGCAGTTAGGTCGGCATTGCCGAATGCCAACCCTAATTCCGAGGGCTGATAATATATGTATGTATGTATATATATATATATATATATATATATATATATATATATATATATATATATATATATATATATATATATATATATATATATATATATATATATATATATATATATATATATATATATATATATATATTATAATTTTTTGAACTTTCCTGTAATTTTTTGTTTAAAAAGTTTGTTAAATTTCGTTAAATATTATTACTTTTGATTTTGATTTTAGATGTGAATTTTAAATATACTGATTCATTTACAGAAAACTTCTACTTACAGTAGCCATATCTATTTTTCTTGTATGACCAGAATATCTTGGTAACATATCTCGCATTTGATCGCAACACTCTTTAATCCTTTCCCTAATCATGAATTTAATATGTGCACAAATATTTATAAAAATTATACTAAATTATTCTAGATTGTATTTATTTACCTTCTCAATCGTTCTTTAGTGCTATGTTTTGTAACGTCATCTGGCATCATAGTAATTTTCATGTCGGCAGATCCTGGTAAACCACTAACCATATAGGGCATGTTATAAGAAGAATTCAAATTATGGCTAGGTGGTATAAAAGGATATTTTCGCATTGTTTCGTTTATATTTGGTTGATAGCTCATATGATGAAGTTCTTTAAGGGTTTTATTGCGAGGAATTGGAGTGCGATAAAGATTTCGAGTGGGATTAGGTGCATAGTCTTTATTTATTGATTTTAAAGAAACTTTGGAACTTCCGTTACTAATTAAGCAACTTGATGACACCACAAATGATGGACTCTTCTGTGAAGAAAAATGATGCTCTTCCTTTTTACCTGCTATGTTGGAATTAGGTACAGATGCAGTCAATATATTTTCGTCTCGAGTTTTTTTTCCATTTGTTGACTCACTATCTTCATTATCTTCTAGTAAATTTGTGGACTCAAATACTAAACAAACAAGCTAATTTTAAAGCAATAACAATCTAAAAGTTACTGAGCCAACTTTAAAATATTTACTTTTTACATGCCTAACTTGTATTTATCTAGAATTTCCTTGACGACAGTATTGTTAAGCTCGCCTTTGTAAACATCTGTTACTCCATAATAATCTAAATCTTGGAAAGAAATATAAGACATTAGGATTTAAAGAAAAAAGAATTTGAACAATATGGTGTTACATACCGTCATTATTATGTCGTTGATGGACAGCTATTATGGGTGTGTCTTTGTTTTTAGAACATTTTTTTCTAAACCAAAAAATTTTATGTTTCAATTTTTCGTATACCAAAATAAAAAAAAGAAAATAAATAAAAAATTGTTCCTTTTTTAATATCTTTTTTAAAAATTTTATTACAAAGGCCAACCTAATGGATGTTATGATCCTCAACATTTCATTATTGCGCGATAGATCTACATCCGTGAAAATGATTTTATAACTGACTTGGTTGCACTGTTGCAATGCGTCATCTGGTAAGCAATATAGGACATTGGTATTATTATTCAAGTAGGTAGCATGTGCACTCAGCAGTTGAATTTCTCCAGATTCTTCGAATGTCGTCACAATCAATATGTTGATCACTTGCTAAAACCATAATTACGGAACTATAAGTATGTATGTATGTATGTATGTATGTATGTATGTATGTATGTATGTATGTATGTATGTATGTATGTATGTATGTATGTATGTATATATGCATGTATGCATGTATGTATGGGTAATCCTACAGCTATTATCTAGTTCGTGAAGACTTTTTAAACATAAAGGAAAGCTTATTGATTTTAGTACATACATCTTATATCCTGTTGCCGCAAGAGTGCCGCCACATCGACGGGGATTTTTAATAGTTATTTATATAATATTAAAATAATGAAAAAAAAGATTGCTGCCCATACCAAACCCTCAGTCAATGTGGTGGCACTCCTTTGCAACAGCGAGCTATAAGATAATCGATATATAAATATTTCTTAATGTTTAAAAGTCTCCCCTGACGAGAGCTCAATAAGTGCATCAAATATTACAAATTAATATTTGACAAGTGAATTTGGACATTATGGTAATTAAGCTATAAGGTGTACATACATCAAATGGGGTGTAAAGGTGCGGAGTGCAGTATGAAGTACGTACTATAGGTACATATATAAACATATACTGTGTCAATTAGCTCTATTTCATTATTCTTCTACTTTTATTATTACTATTTTTTATTTTTCTAAAAATTTTTAAAATCTGCAAAAATGCAAAGTACCCAATAAAACAAGCAAGAGGTTTAGCAGTTCATTATAAAAATTTGTTCTTTGTGTTTGCACCAATATATGCGAGTTACGGTTTCCGAAAAAAAAGTTTTGTTTATTGGAATAAAAAAAATATATATGAAGGTTTTTAATAAAGTAAAGATATTCAAAAAAAATAATAAAAAATAAACAATTTATTATTTTTAAAAATTACTCGTGCATTATTAAAGTTTGTTTTTCTATTTTCAAATAAGCTATAAATATGGAATAATTTAGATATACATAAATTTTACTTCATTTACAAAAATTGAAGCTTGTTCATTGTTAAACTGCGCAGAATTGACGTAACGTTGATTACTTTCTTGCTCTACAAATAGACGTCTTCGAACATTCAGCACACTCCGAAGTGACAAATTGCTAACCATTAACTTTGTCGACATTTTATAAATTCTCTCCGAGTTTGGAAGTTTACTTACTTCAAGCTCACGATCAAGTTATCAAAAATTACAAAGTAACTTTAAGCTATTTACGTAATACAAAGAAAATTCCTACGACGTTTCTTTTCGCACATTAAATCAAACTTACAATAAACTTGACAAAACAACAAATTTTTATTAAATTATTTAATTTGCAATACCTTTGACATTATCTCGCTGTGCAAATTTTATCACTTCCCTTGTATTAGTTTTAGTTTGACTTACAAAATCGTCTCTTTCTTTTTGATTTTAACGACCAAACAAGTTCAATTTGATACGCACGAGCAATTAATAAAAATAAAAAAACTCCGTCTTGAGATAATAAAAAAAGTAAAGTTAATTAACGGTTAAAAATATAAGAAGCTCGAATATTGAACAAAAATATATAAATATTTGTCAGTTTTACGTTGTTCATTATAAATTAAATAATAAAATTAGTTATTTTTTATAAAAAAGTAAAAAAAAAAATTTTTTGTAAAAAAAATTAGTTTAAAAAGTAATTATTAAAAAATAAACAAGTTTATTTTTAAGTCATAATAAAATAGTTTAACATTGAATTAGTTTTTTTTTTATCATTATTTAGCATTTCCTGTTGTAGTCATAAAATAAAAAATAGTTTTAAATTTAAAAGATATGTTTCTATATATACCGCTTATTTCACTAAGTTTTAAAGTCAAATTTTAAAGTGTAACCAACAGGGAATTTGCGACAAAGGAAAAAAAAATTGCCTAGGGGAATTATTAAGTTTAAATAACAAGATGATTAATTGAATGATGAAATTGTGACACAAATAACATTTCAGGTTTTTAAAAAAAGTAGATAAAAAAACCCCCTTAAACGCTAAATTTTTATACTGAAACCTTGATCATTAATTTATAATTTCCTTGTTAAACATAACCACGATCAACACCGTTTTTTTAGTGTTTGAGCTATCTTCTAGAAAGTGAGTTGACTTTAAACATCTATGTTTATACTTCTTTCAAATAAGAATGATGTACGAAAGACTTTAATGATTAGGGCCTGTAAACAAAAAACCCTAAAATTTTGCTTCTCTACACCAAACGTTAAATCAACAAGTTTATAAAAGAATTTTATTTTTTTAATATTTTCAGTTAATTTTATAATTTTTAAAAAATTTAATACAATAATATCTTTGTGTTCAAAGATTATGACCATATAAATACTTCTCAATTTGAGGGGTTACAAATTTTACACGGTCATAATTTACAAACACTAATTAATTATAAAAAAATTTGAAATCTATCAATAAATATAAATTTATTTAAGGCTGGTAATCTTTTTTTTATTAACTTGCTTTTCTCACGTTTGGGGTAAGGAAAAAGGGGGGATTTATGATATCTAATTACGATATCAACTGTTAATTACAGCAATAATGTTAATTTTAAAAGCTATAATAGCAAGTAATTGTTAATTGGTGTTTATAGTTTATAATTATTACATATAACATTAATGTTTATTTTAAGAACTATATGATTTAATATGGATTGTTGTTTATAAATTAATCATTAATAATAATTAATCGCTATATGCTGCCCATTATCATTAATAATAATTAATCGCTATATGCTGCCCATACCAAACCCTCAGTCAATGTGGTGGCACTCCTTTGCAACAGCGAGCTATAAGATAATCGATATATAAATATTTCTTAATGTTTAAAAAATATATATATATATATATATATATATATATATATATATATATATATATATATATATATATATAAATCTTTGCTTATAAATAAATACATAAATCTTAACTTAAAAGCTAAACTTTCAAACATTTTAATTTGTAAAAGATTTCGAATGTCTATTGCGACTCATTCGAAGTCAAAGTCATACAATTACGAATTCTGTTAACTTAAATGTGGCATTTTAAAGTCTATCAAAATTGTTTCAAAATTTTTTTGTAATGTGAATGTTAAATTTTTGAAAATAACATTTTTTCGAAACCGGAAACCAATGTCATTGAATAGTTTTATAAATTTTTTTGATATATTTCAAATGATTTTTTTTTTACGCATTTTTTGAAATGATTGCTAAGAATTTTTTACAGAATTTCTTAATTTTTACATAAAACTTTAAAAACTAATGAATGAATCGTTTGAAAAAGTTAGTAAAAAATAATGTTTGTCTCCTGATTTTTAAATGTCTGATGGTTTTTAAATACTATGCTTTTTTTTTATTTCTGTTTCTAACATTATTCTTTATATAAGCTTTTAATGATGAAGTCCAATTGATCTTCTTTTAGAAACTAGTTTATAAAATATAAAAAAATTAAATTAAACATAAAAAAATGTATTATTAAAAAAAAAAAAAGAAAAGCTTCCAATAATTTGACGAAGTTCATAATTATTAGTAAAAATAAAAATAAAAGTCTTGGTGTTTCTAGATTAAGTTGTGACTTCAAATACTTGGTCTTTATTGGTTCAAGATATTTTAAGGCAAGACTGAGCTGGTCATGCCTTGAAATGTCTTGCATCAATGAAGACATTTTTAAAGTCTTGTACAACTTAGTCTTTTCTTGTCTTTACTTTTCTTACAATTCTTATAGCAGATTCTTAGACCCAGGCTCTAGGGCTGCACTGACTTATCGAATTTGGTTCTAGACTTCCCAAGTAGCAAACAATATCGGCGCATTATTGTTTATATACTGTAAACAATATTGCACATACTGTAAACAATACTACATAGAGTAAACATATTGCACCAATATTGTTTTCTACTCGGGTTGAGTCAGCTACACTTGGATAAAATTAGTAGTAGTGACTTTTTAATAGATTGCAGATACGGGCCTAGTGCTTACTAGTTTTTATTGCATATGTGGCCTGCATTTTAAACTTTCTGGAAGCTTATGTTAATTTAAGTTTAGAGGATTCAGGAAAGACATTAAGACTTTTTGAAAAGAAAACGTAAGAAGGAAATAAGCAAACGTTTAAGACGATTTGAACTTGACCCCAACTCAAAGAACATTATGCAATAATAACTTTCTAGAAATAAAAATTTATATTGTAAATAATTAAAATACTTTGCTCAACGGAAAAATTCGTTCAAAAAATATTTACTATATTGTTGAAAACAAAAAATTCCAACGTAAAGTATTTCTTCGATAAAATGTTTCGCAATCGAAATATGCTTTTAAATAAGAATGCTAAAAACTATAAACTTGGAAGTCGCACTTAGTTCTTTTGATTTATATACTACAAATAACAAAATAATTAGTTTAGATTTGGTTTCGATATATATCTAACATTTTAACGGCTTTAACCATTCCCTAGCCAAAATGTTCTATAGGACATATAGGATTGTTGAACAAAGCAAAGAAAATAAAAAACTTTAATAACTTTAAACTTATGTGTTTTAATTTAATAGGGTTAAAATCTGATTTTTTTTTTGTTGTAAATTCTTATAGGATCTTATAGGACTTTGACCTGGGTAGACCTATTAAGGACTATAAAAAAATTAATGCGCGTTTTTATAAGAAAACTACTTTTTCTTCAAAAATTATGAAGAATTTAGAGTAAAATTGTTTAAACTTATTCTAAAGACTAACTACACAGATTTATAACTATTACAATTACAAAAACTACGTTTTTGGCTTTCGAATGTAAATTTTGATTAAATTAAATACCAATAAAAAACCTGGCCTTTTTATATATTCTACTATTCATTTATATATCCTATAAATCCGAGTTAACGAACGTGAAGGACGCTTATCGAATAGGAGTTTAACAAAGAAGCCTACCGGTAAGCATATTTTGAAACCCTATACAGGCTCAGAATAGGCAGAGGTTTGCGCAATCTGATTCGCTACTTTTGAAAGAGAGGCTTTTGAACGTAAGTTTAAATCAAAACAAATGTTAAAAAACGTATTGATTAATAAAAGTGAAATAGAGTAATTGTCAAATAATAATAACAAAAAAAAAAAAAAATGATTTTTCTATCCAATTTTGTACAATATGGTACATATTTTTTTAAAAATAAAGATTTAAAAAAATTAGTTTGTTTTCCTTATGGTTTTTATAAATCTAAAATACAAAAATGACAACGATTGCAACAAACTATAAACCAGATGGTAAAACTTTACTATGTTGTGATTCTTCTACGATAGATTTTTTAAAACAGTTTTAAATTTATCAAATAATATCAATAAAATATTATTAACATGGTATAAGTTTTTTCAAATTAAGTTCCCATTAATCTTATCATTTTCTGCTTATTCTGAGCCTGTCTAGGATTTCAAAATATGTTACCAGTAATAGAACTTTTACAAACTAAATTTTCGAAGATTTTAGTTTTGATTTCGATTGTCTGTAATGATTGATTATATTGACCGAAAGTCATTTCTTCTGTACTTTTTCAAAGTTCAGAAAGACCTTCAGTTTGAAATTCAAGTTCAATCATCTACTTTTGAAGTTCAATTTAACACTGATCTCATTATTTTTTCAATTATTGGTTTACAGTTTCTTGTTTTTAGAATGGTTTTAGTTTATTTTAGGTTTTTAAAATTACCTAAAAATTAATTAATTGATTAACTCTAAAAAAACGGTTAAATATTTCAAGATACAAAATAAAGCAATTCTAACGGGCGGAAATTAAAAAATTTAGCAAGCTAAAATATCATTCCATTTAGACATTCCTTAGCAAGACAAGATTTGAAAAAAATAAACGAATTCTTTTGTACTTTATTTTTTGAATTATAAATAGTTCAAATAATTTCAAAAATTCAGCATTTTTAGCAGGTTTGAAATAAAATTTGAAAAGTAAGTTCTACATTTAAAAAAAATCAAAAACACAAAGTAATTAAAGAATAAAATTTAATTGTTTTTTTTTTGTTGTTGTTTTAACAATTTGTTGAAAGGATACATTTTTACATTTTTTTAAACCTGCTTTAAAGATAAGTACCGGTTAATTTTGTTATTGTTTATATTTGAAATAAGTACCAGTTAATTTTGTTATCTATTTGTTATGTTACATTTTATCAAGCGGCACTAGATAAAATGTTTTTGTGTGTGTGTTTTTTCTCTTATACTCAGCTGTAAAAAATCTCTGTAAAATAAAGGTTACAAAAGAGACAACATGTAAAACATCATAATTAGAAATATAAACGATAGTTGTTAATTCACAATCAGTGAAAGTTCCAATATAAAGATTTCTGAATTAAAAAAATGAGAAGCTAAAGATGCATAAAAAAAAAAATAGAGTAAATTATTTATAAATAGTGAAA